GATTAATCCCTTTTTTTATTATTATTTTTTAAAATATTTATTTTAATATTAACAAATAAAAAAAATATCAAAATAAAAAAAATTTAATTTGAAATATATAAATTGTTTTTTTTTTGTTTGAAAAGCACAGAAATACAATTATTAATATTGCCTCACTATCAAAACAGACAGTGGCAGTTATAAATACAACCCGACCCCACACGACCCCTGGACGTCACTTATTCTTGAGCTTTCCCTCTCTATCTTTAATGCTTTAATTGCGTATTGAAGGCAACAAAATGGATGCCTCGTCTTCCTCTTTCCTCTCTGCAATTCAAAGCTCCTCACAGGTACCGTGGCAATGGCCATTCCTAAATCTGCTGTCACAACTACAACATCATTTCTATCACGTCATCCTCCTCCCCTCATTGTATCATCAGTTAGGATTCAAGAAAAAACCCGCAACTCGATCACAAGACCTACCACCAGCAGAGCTTCACGCCCTGCATCATCAACGACAGCCTTGCCTCCTGCAACAAAATCATCAACAACAAGGAAATCTCCTGCAAATGATAGACGAGTTGTAGAGCCATTCCAGCCCACTATGATGTTCAATGTACTGGAAGACGTCATCAACAACTTCATAGACCCTCCGCTTCGGCCATCAGTTGATCCTAGATATGTACTCAGTGATAACTTTGCTCCAGTTGATGAACTACCTCCAACTGAGTGCGAGGTAATCCAAGGATCTCTACCATCATGCCTTGATGGTGCATACATCCGCAATGGCCCTAATCCTCAGTACCTCCCTCGAGGACCTTACCACTTATTTGATGGTGATGGCATGCTTCACTCCATCAGGATCTCCCAGGGGAAAGCCACTCTTTGCAGTCGCTACGTCAAGACTTACAAATATACCTTGGAGCGTGATGCTGGAGCTCCGCTTCTTCCAAATGTGTTCTCTGGATTCAATGGACTCGCTGCCTCCGCAGCTCGCGGCGCTCTGTCTGCTGTTCGAATTCTAGCTGGCCAATTCAATCCAGCTAACGGTATTGGTCTAGCAAACACTAGCTTGGCTTATTTTGGCAACCGACTGTACGCACTTGGCGAGTCGGATCTACCCTACGCTGTGCGTTTGACATCAAATGGAGACATAGAGACGCTGGGTCGTCATGATTTTGATGGGAAGCTGCTGATGAGCATGACTGCTCACCCCAAGATAGACTTGGAGACAGGGGAGGCCTTTGCTTTCAGATATGGCCCCGTCCCTCCATTTCTAACATACTTTCACTTCGATGGAAATGGAAAGAAACAACCAGATGTGCCCATATTTTCCATGACGAGACCTTCTTTCCTCCATGACTTTGGAATTAGCAGAAAATACGCTATATTTGCCGACATACAGATTGGGATGAACCCC